AAAAAAAAACAAACCCCAAACCTAAACTCAAACAAACAACAACAACAACAACAACAACAACAACAACAACACAGGCTAGGAGTTGTGGGAGCCAAGAATACTTGCCTGGTGTGTACAAAGACCCACATCCTTGGTGTGCACACATCCACAAATACCACCCAAACGATAAAGAACAAACAAATAAGCAAAAGACACCCCCATCCCCCCAGTTACAGTTCAGATTCTACAAGAATAAAAGCTCCAGACCAGTGCAAAGCTTTCTAAGCTCCATCCAATGATCCAGCTACTGTGAGTGCAGCAGAGATGTCTAGACAGACAGGAGAACGCAGGGTCATGCTAATGAGCACCTTCTCTTGCTGTGGTCATCCTCCTCCAGGGTCCATTCATTATCTACTGGCTGCCATTACCTTTGAAGCCCTAGCCCCAACCCCCATCACAGTGGCTACCATTACCCAGAGGCCGCCATTACCCATGGAGCTCCCTGCAGAGCAGTGAGGTCAGCTTCTTCAGGTGAGGAAGGTTGCTGGAGCCTGTCTTCACAAAGTCAGCGTCTAGGACAAGCTGAGTGCTCAAATAATCCTGGATGGCTTTCAGATGCTCTTCTGGAAGCCTGAAAAATAAAAAGGAAGGAAAGCCTGTTTTGCCTCATTGTTCTGGCTACCGACAGTCCCAGTAACGATGACACATGGAGGAGTCACAGACTGGCTGAGATGCGGTCCTTCGGATGCATGCACCTGTGTGAAGGTCCCCTAGGACCTGCAGAGGCAGAGGAGTCGATCGAAGCCAGGTTAAAATAGAAGACTCTGAGGGCTGGAGAGATGGCTCAGCGGTTAAGAGCACTGACTGCTCTGGTAGAGGATCTGGGTTTGATTCCCAGCACCTACATGGTGGCTAACAACCATCTGTAACTCCAGTTCCAGGGTATCTGATGCCCTCTTCTAACCTCCTCAGGCATTGCATGACATGGGTGCACTTATAAACATGCAGGCATTACACTCATATACATAAAAAAATTCTAAAAAAGCTCTGAGTAATTCTTTTGGGGTGAGCACTGTTGGGTGCTGAGATAGGGTTGGAGTTTGGGAGACGGCTGTTCTTTTTAAAAGAGACAAAGAGCCTTAGGAATATATGGAAGATTATTTCCTGCCACCCTGGCACATACAGCTGGGATTCAAGGGCTGGAGGATGATCTAGTCCAGAGGTAGCAAGCAGCTCTGGTCATTACGCCAAGTCCAAATTCAAACGTTATCCAGATTACCACAGTGCAGAGGGTTTGGAGCCACCCTGGGCTCTATGAAGAAGTCAGTATGTGATAAGTTCTGTTGGTTGGTGTGGAAGGGGATGTGTGGGGGATAGTGTCTCCCCATGTAACCCAGGCTGATCTCAAACTCTTGATCCTCCTGCCTCATCCTCCCTCATGCTGTGATTACAGGTGTGAGCCCCTGTATCTAGCTGGCCCTGAATCTTGACCCTCTTTCCATGGCTTCCCAAGTGTTGGGGTTACAGACAGGCACCATCATGCCCAGCTTGTCTAGTAGGGCCAGGCATGTGGGCCCAGGAAATGGATGTCCAGGTGACCTGACTTTGACCTCCCTGATTTGGCCTGGTTTCTTCAGTTTTATAAAGTGATGCGGCTGAAGGGCAAGCATGTTTGTGTCTGAGTGTTTCCAACTGTGGGGCCCAACTTTTCTCCCTTTGGTCAGCAGCCTTAGCCACCCGGCCACCTGACTGTCACCACATACCCCCAGGGACCATGTACTGTATCCCACCCCCACTCCAGCTTTCAGAGGCCAGCCTTCCACCCCAGTACTTTATGAATAATCACTTAGCTCGGTGCTCCCTATTAATGAAGCTAGTAGTGTCCCCTTGGGGCCCCATTGGAGCTGTGTGAGCAGTAAGAGGAAGACAATTAGGTTGGACTCCATGAGCCCCAGAGCGATCCTTTCTGAAACTCAGGGGTGCGTGCAAAAGGGAACAGTCCTCCTGTAGCCAACTGTGGTGGGACGCAGTAAGGAGGCTCAGCCTCCCAGGGTGATCGGACACATGAGAAATGCTTTAAGAATACGGGCGACAGCGGGTGCTGAGGTGTCATTTGACCCCAGAATGGCAGTGACTTTCTAAGGAAAAGAGATCTCACATGTCAGGACCTGAAAACTATAAATGTGAAAACACCCCTAAACATAAAACGTGAGCAAAAAGTGAGAAGATACATTTTCCCCACAAAAAATGATGTCAAATGGTTTATAAGAAGATCATAAACTTGGCAAGGAAAACATTAAGACCCTGCTTAGAAAACTGGGCTAAAGGGCTGGAGAGATGGTTCAGAGGTTAAGAGCACCCACTGCTCTTGCAGAAGACCTGGGTTCGATTCCCAGGACCCACATGGTGGCTAACAACTGACCATAACTCCAGTCCCAGGGGAATCCAACACCACCTTCTGACTCCGAGGGCACTGCACAACACAGGTGTACTTATACACATGCAAGCAATATACTCATACAAAATAAAAATAATAAAGCCAGGTGTGGTGGTGCACACCTTTAGTCCCAGCACTCGGGAGGCAGAGGCAGGCAGATCTCTGTGAGTTTGGGGCCAGCCTGGTCTACATAGTGATTTCCAGGTCAGCTTGTGCTACAGGGAGACCCTGTCTCAAAAAGACCAAAAAAACAAAAAGAGAAGAAAGAAAACTGGGCTAAGGACACAAATGACTTGGGGTCAGGGAGACAGCTTTGATCTAAAACATAGAAGTTGTCTTTCAACCTTATTAATAAATTAAATGGAAATAAGCACAGATCTAAAGTTATTCCAGCTGCTTCCCAGAGCCTGGTCCTGCACATGCCTGAGTGCTAAGTAGTGGGTGCTGAGCCAGCCTCCTCCAGGTGGGGGACTCACCCGCTGGTGTCCATACTCTGTAGTCGCTGAAACAGTGTTTCTGAGAGGCTTGGCCGGCTGACCTCAGGGGCTCTGAGGTTCTCTGTTTGAAGGAGAAGGTCCTTGGCCTCACAGGGCCCTGCAGACACAGGGATGTTTCTGGGTGGCAGCTCTGGTGGAGACATGACATTCTCTACACAAGAGAAGGGCAGGAATGAAAGTCATCAGTGAGGATGCTATCTGCATAGCCCCGATCCACGTGTCCACACAGCCCCATCCTGTCTCCACCTCAGCTCTGTGAGGTCTAGACCACCACATTCCAGGTCCTCATCTGCCACTCATTCCTCCCTCTCTTCACACCCTTGCAGACTCACTGACTGGACAGGTGCCTCTTATGGAAGCCTTGGTTTCATGATTCTTAGACCTGGGGGCTCCTGCCATGTTTGTCCCACCATATTGCTCAGCAAAGATTTGTTTGGGGTCAGTTGGCCCAGAGAGGCTTAGGGACAGGGACGTCTGCAGGACTGCTGGCATTGGACAGTCCTAGCAGGCAGATGAGCAGGATGGCTTGGCTTTTAGGGAATGATACAAGTAAGTGCCGTATGCAAGATCAGGAACTGCTGGCATTGGACAGTCCTAGCAGGCAGATGAGCAGGATGGCTTGGCTTTCAGGGAATGATACAAGTAAGTGCCATATGCAAGATCAGGAACAGGCTCTCTCTCTCTCTCTCTCTCTCTCTCTCTCTTCTCTCTCTCTCTCTCTCTCTCTCTCTCTCTCTCTCTCTCCCCCCTTCCCCATTCTCTCCAGCTTCAGCCTTCATCTCCCTCTTCCCTAGACCTTCAGAGACAAATTTTGAAAGTAAGTCAGAAAGTCAGAATCCTCATTCAGAGACCTGGAATGTTCAACAAACCACTTGAACTTGGCCTGAGATGAGACTCGGCCAATTCTAAATTTCCTTCACGTGCTTATCACAAACAGGCAAAGGTCACTAAGCCACCTAAGTCCAGTCCAGGACTTCCTGCTCAAGCTCCTCCTGACCCCTAGTGGTCACCCTGTTCTCAGCTACACGGCTGCACAGGTGGCAGGAACAAGGGCCTTTCCCTTCAGTGAATGAACACTTCCTTTCTTCCCCTCTCTGGGCTGCTGGAGAAGTTCTGCTTTGAGCCCTGGGAACTGTAGGACTTTGCAAAGATCCGAATCAAATTGGACACTTTAGTCCAGGGGCTGAATGTCACCTTGTTCTGGGTCTTGTTGGTGATCAGGAGACATGCTTGGGTGAGATCAAGGTCACGAGACCTGGCTTCTCTATCGGGGTTTGCTTTGGGTGACATCCCAGGGCAAGGCAAGCTGAAAGGAGGGGGTGGCGAGTGAGGATGGTGGCGTGTGGCTGGAATGCCTACAGGACAAGGTAAAAGCTGCCTTCTGGGTCCCTGGGGACAACTGGGGCACGTGTGAGTGACCATGTGTTTACATGTGGCCATGTTGACTCTGGCTGTGCCACAGTTGGACCTTCCTGATCCCTGAAGGTCAGATAAAGGAGACATGGCTGGTCTGAGCTCCCCTCAGCACACACAGAGCTGCAGTCACTCGGGACACACACTTGGCCTGGCCCTCCAAGGCTGGTGAGGTGGCTCTCCTGTCTGCCCTCTGGAAGGCAGCCTGAGCTGGACAAGCAGGAAAGGGGGGTCTCCAGGAAGGTGGGAGGTGGAATCAGGGGCAGGTGACCCACAGTCAGCCTAAAATAATAGGAGAAATGATGCCTTAAATGTACCTGGCAGATGTCTACCAGGGTCAGGCAGAAGCCAGGCCAGACCTCAGCCCCTCACAGATGCTTGGGGATTTTTTTTCAACATATTTTAGGAACCCCTTTAGAGATGGGGTTCTCACTAGACAGTACTGGCCAGCTCAAACTCAAGGCCTTCCTGCCTCAGCCTCCCAGGTGTTGGGATTACAGTGGCATGGATCACCATGACTGGCTTTGTTTCCCCTTTTCTTTTTTTTTCTTTTTCTTTTTTTTTTTTTCGGTCTTTTTTGAGACAGGGTCTCCTTGTAGCCCCAGCTGGCCTGGAACTCACTATGTAGACCAGGCTGGCCTCAGTCACCCTGTGCTGGGATCAAAGGCGTGAGCCACCACGCCCAGCCTGTTGCCCCTTTTCATGATGATCTGTAAAGAAACTCTTCTCATGCTCCCCTTAGGGGCAAGGGTCTCCTTTATTGTCCTCACAGTGAGATGATGATGGTGGCAGCTGCATTTATGGAGTGCTTGCTGTGTACTGGGCTCTGGGTGTTACCGTCATGGTCCTGTGACCATGTGAGAGGTTGACGGGTGCTGTCTTTACTTAATCTTTGTAAGAGAAACCTCGGGTTCAGGGAGGTGAAGTAACTTATCCAAAGCTACAAAGGTAATAAATAGGACAGGAATTCCAGTCCGCATCTATCTGATCCCAGAGCTCACACCCGCAACCTGTTATTACTATGCTATGCTCGCTCTCCTTCTGCTAGCAAGACTGTCTGATCGACATGCACTTGTGGGACTAGGAGGGCATGGTTTCACTGGCACCCCTAGACCTCTGTCATCTTCCCCCTCCCCTACTTACCAGTGTCCTCCTCCGCCTCGTCAACCGTGTCCTCCTCCTCCAGCGGCACCGGGTACTGCAGGTGGGTTACCAACCCCATGTTTTCCTTCCTGTAAAACTCGATGAGCTGGTCCAGCTTGGTGAAGAATCTCATGGGGACACCTTCAGATGCCTGAGGACAGAAGCCCCAGACAGAGCATATTTTAACTGACTAGAATGTCACCCAACCGCAAAGGCCACCTGCAGCAGAGACCCAAGAGGCTGGGAGTGACCACTTTCCAGAAAAAGCCTCGGGCCCTCCACCCACACCTCACATCCTGTAGCCAGCAGCACCCAGGAGCCCTACACAAAGGTGCATGTAGAAGTATCTTAAAGTTTATTTTTTTCTTTCAGTCTGTAAAAATTATTTTAAAAAGCATTTTGCTATACAAATAGTATATTTTATTATGCTCAAATTAGAAAATACAGATTTTTTTAAAAAAGAAATCACCTATAATCCCAGAGCCCAAAGAGTTCTATTTTCAATACAGTTTAGCTGTCTCTGTGTGTTGAGCAGAGTTATTTTTGCTTTCCCCCCACCACAAAGATGATTTTTTTAAAATTATTTTTTATTTTTGGTGTTGAGGATTGAACTCAAGCCCTCATGAATACAAAGCAAAGCCCTACCACTGACTGACACTCCCAGACCCAGATTATTTATATTTATTTATTTATTTATTTATTTATTTATTTAATGGTGCTAGGGATTGAGGACCTCACATATTCCTAGCAAGCATTCTACCACTGAGTTACATGCCAGTTTTTTTTTTAGATAGTTTTGCTACCTAACCTCGGCTGTTTTACATTCCTATGTAGCCTAGGCTAGCCTTGAACTTCTAAGAATCCTGCATCTGCCTCCTGAGTGCTGGAATTGCAGGTGTGGGCCATCACATACAGCTGCTGGCCCCTTTCAAACTTTATTCTGAGGTAGAGTCTTACTGCTACCCAGACTGGCCTTGTATTTGACCTACCTCAACCTCCACAGTAACTGGACTCATAGACATGTCCCACCACACATGGCTTATTTATTTATTCATGATTTTTGAAACAGGCTCTGGTTATGTAGCCCAGGGTGGCCTCAGCTTCCCATGAATTTAAAATTGCGAGTCTGTGCCACTACGTTTGACTATCATTCAGGTATTTATTTAAACAGGAAAAATTCATTCTGGTGATTTTTTTTTTTTTTTGAGAAGGGTCTCCCTGTAGCCCAAGCTGACCTGGAACTGGCTGTGTAGACTTGATCTCACAGAGATCAGCCTGCCTCTGCTTCCCCAGTACTGGGATTAAAGGCATGTGCCACTACACCCAGCTTACCTATTTTTTCTTTTAAGTTAGTTTTTTAGTCTGTTTTGAAATAGGGTCTCACTCTGCAGCCCCAGTTGGCCTCGAACTCACAGAGATCCAACTGCCTCTTCCTCCTGAGTGCTAGGATTATGGGCATGTAGCACCAGGCCTGCTTAATTCTGTTTTTCGTCAAAAGTCAGAAAATGGTTCAGGAGGCTCAGGGATCTTCCCTAGTTTGTGTCTCTGCTGTTGATGACAGAAGTAATTCTATTAGGTTATTCTACAGTTTGGGGGCCAGGTCTCCTTTGTATATGTTGGTGGAGAGGAGGGTCTTGGGCAGGAAACTCAAGGTCTTCCCTGAGCAGCCAGCCCCATCCCTACCAAAGCTCCCCTTCATCTCTACTCGAGCATACCCTTGCTAAAACTCTAGCCTACAGGCAGCTGGATGGACGGGAGTGAGAGACTGAGCTGCTGAGAGTAATGGGCACCACATATGCCTTCCTCTGATGGGTGTCTGTGGCCTTAAACGATCATAACACCCTTGGCCTCCAAGCACTAAATGCTAGTGCTTCACTCCTGTATGTATTTTATTTTATTTTATTTTATTTTATTTTTTATTTTGACACTGGGTCTCACACCTGTAGCCCTGGCTGGCCTAGAACTCACTACAAAGCCCAGACCAGCCTCAAACTCATAGCAACCCTCCTGCCTCAGCCTTTCAAGTGCTGAGATTATAGGCGTGAACTATCATGTCCAGCTGCCCTTGTCATAATTTATTTATTATTTTTACTTTATGTGCATGAGTGTACTGTGTACATATGTGTAAGTGCACCCAAGTCGTGCAATGTCCAGGGAAATCAGAAGAAGCCATCAGATCCCCAGGAACTGGAGTTATGGATGGTTGTTAGCCACCATGTGGATGGTGGGACTCGAACCCAGGTCCTCTGCAAGAGCAATCAGTGCTGCCATTTCTCCAGCTCCTGTCCTTGTCATCTAACAGACTCTCCTGTCCATCTTCAGGTTTGGAAATCAGAGGCCCTGGCCTGGTAGCTTTGGGATGATAGATGAATGGGACAAACTCAGACATCAGAACCCGGACTTGCTTAATCTTGTCAATTTGATGGGATTAAGAATCACCATGGAAACAAATCTCTGGGCATGTCTGTGAGGGATTATCTAAATTAGGTTAATTGAGGTAGGAGGTCCCACCCTAAATGTGAGTGATACCATAGCATGGGCTGGGGTCCCGAGACGCAATAGAAAGGAGAAGGTGAGCTAAGTTCAAGCCTTCATCACTCCGTACTTCCTGCCTGTGGACGCAAGGTGACCAGGTACCTCGTGCTCCCCCTGCGGTGCCTTCCGTCCCCCTCTGATGGACTGTATCCTCTGGAACTGTTGTTTCCTCACATGTCTTTTGTTAAGTGTTTTGTCACAACAAGACAAGGACTTACTACGGCAAGGGAGCTCTCAGACCCCCCTGAGTCCCGGCTTCCGGGTCCTCCACACTGTAAGGAAGGCTTCACCTGGGGCTCAGCATGTCCGCCTGGCTCTCTGCCTTGCTGTCTCTCCTTGGTCTCATCCTGCTGTCTGTCTGCTTCTCTTTCTCCTATGCACTGCATGCGTGTAAATCTGTGCATAGGGGTATTTATGTGTGTGTTGTATGATTTAGGCTGCTTCAGTAAATTTATAGAGATTGGCAAGAGGGGCTGTTTGTTCTTTTCAATAAACTCCCTTGTTTTCTCAAAGCCCCATGTCCCACAGTTTCTTCCAAGCACTGCTGGCCACCTGAATGGCAGCTGCCGTCAAGACCTCCAGAAAATTCCTTCAATAGGTTCAAATGTAAACAAGAGCAGAATTCCAACAATAATTTGGTGAGATGCAAGACCTGTGAACTCAATTCAGTTGGAGCAGTTGCAAGTGCTGCCTTGTCAAAGGTTTTACAGCTAATGGATGACACACCATTAGGCATTTGGAAAAGACTATGAAAATATGAAAGAAAGTCTAGGTGGGCCAATCCATGCATGAATCTGGGAAGGGAGTCTGGGCTGGGGGTGGTGTCTGAGCACATGGGATTGGGGGTTTAGGAGACTGATGCTGAGACACACATTATTTTCTGTGCCACTAAAAAGCAGAAACTGGAACTATTCTACACTATTGACTATGGACATGTTCAATTGCAGAGATGTGAAATGTGGAAAATAAACAACTTAACTATTGATGAATACACAATGTAACAAGCAAGCAGAGAGCCGGAATCCCTGCAGAGCTGAGGCAGGAGGCAGAAGCAGCCATGGCTGCCAGGCACTGTCGATCAGGTATGCTCCCCTGGCCATTGCTTGTGCCTAGATCAGTCACAGAGGCCAGAAAGCCAGGGACTGGAAGACCATGTGGCACAGGCTTCCAGGAAGACAGAGGGTGTATGGTCAAGTTCAACTCCTAAGGATGGTGGGGCAGGTGCCTCTGGGTGGAAGGTGAGCCAGTTCATAATGCACAGCTGAGGATAGAGGCCTTCCTCCAACTTCCACAAGCACCACTCTCTAAGGACGGTGCAGTTTGGATTGTCTCCCCCAGTTCATATGCTGAAAATGTGATGGTTTGAATAGTAACGTGTGTGTAGGTGCTCATGAAAGTCAGAAGAGAGTGTCAGAGCTCTCTGAACACTTAGTCAGTTGGTAATGCTGTTTGGGGAGGGTTATGGGACATTTAGGAGGTATGGCCTTACTGGAGAAAGCATGGGGGGTTGCTTTGAGACTTCATGTCTTGTCCCACTTCTAGTTTGCTGTCCCTCTGCTTCCTGTGTGTGCTTGATGTGAACACACAGCTTTCTGCTCCGGCCTCCTCTGCTGCCAATATGGACTGTTATCTCTCTGGGCTAACAGCAACAGAAAAAACTCAGTCCTCGTATTTATGTGTTAATGGCATTTGGAGGAAGAACCTTTGAAGGGTGGGACCCCCGTGATACTATTAGCAGCTCTACAAGCAGAGGAAAAGCATCTAAGCTCACACACTTTAGCCATATGATGCCCTGATGCCACAGTGAGACAACCCTCACCAGAGAGATGCCAGTGCCTTGCTCTTAGGTCTCCAGAACTATGAACCAAATAAGCCATAGTATTCAGTCATAGCAACAGGAAACATAGATTTACACGTGTGCAGTGAATATACATAATGTAAGTACACTTAAGAGAGACATACAAAGAAACAGACAGCGGGGTGGGACAAGGAAAGACAGAGAGGCAGACAGCACAAGTGGACAGCCCGAGTCCCAGGTGAATGACAGAGGGGTGCTCTTATAGAAGGCCACCTGTCCTCACTGCAAAATGGAAGACCCAGGAGCCATGGCATGTTATTTTTAAGATAGGTCTAAAAGGCCCTACGTCAAGGTAGGATTACCAGTGAGTGGCTAATTCTATATAATGATAGCCATCACTGGGTCCAACCTAACCAACCTCACCAAGTCAAAACCAACTGTTGTGAGGGGGCTTCCAGGTGGCAGTATCCTGCCTGTGGGAAGGGAGCAATAATCTCCTTCAGGAATGAGCATGGGGCCGGGACTTCTACATCAGGTCTCTTCCATATCCACCTGCCTGTAAGCCCCCCAGGCATAAGTCACATCTGCATGCTGTTGGATCCTGCCACACAGCCTTGCAATCCAAGGCACTCCACAACTGGTGACCTTATGGGTTACTATATTGGGTTTAGAATGACAGGCAAGAATTTGGAGCCAGAAAGAGAGACGGTTGGGGGACTGTGATGTTTCATTTTAATTGTCAATGTGACACAATCTAGAGTCACCTGGGAAGAGAGTGTCATAGGGACTGTCTGGATCAGGCTGGCCTGTGGGTGTGT